TCCAACACAGATTGGTTTATTCTTTTGATAGTTCATGGTATTTTTAATATTCGCCTCCAACACCATAACTCAAATGAATCAATTCTTTAACAATCTTTCTTATTCATTGTCCAACTTTCACATGCATATGAGACTGTTTAAAAGACCATGGCTTAGATCAGGTGCACCTTATGCTCAAACTGACATCTTTGCTCTTGAAAACTTTAAAGAGGGCTTGTACAGAAGATTTGCATAATTCAATATGTCATTTGATTTCTTGACTGCTGCTTTTGTGAGTGTTGATGGTTAATCCAAGCAAAATGAAGTCTTAGAAATTTTCAAATTTTTTTTTCTATTTATCGTGATACTGTTTTTGGTCTAGTGGTAAGGAGTTTTATTTTCTTTACATTGATACTCAAGCCATACCAAAGTCTGTGGTCTGTGGTCTTCATCAGTTAAGTCATCTTCATCTTCAACAAGCAAGATTGCATCATCTGCATATCACATGTTGTTAATGAGTCTTCCTCTAGTCCTGATGCCATTTTCTTCTTCATGGAATCTAGCTTCGCAGATTATTTACTGAGCATACAGATTGAATAAGTATGGTGAACGACACACAACTTTCCTAATTTTAAACCATTCAATAACCTCTTGTTCTGTTTGATTGACTACCTCTTGGTATACATATAGTTCCTTATGAGCACAGTTAAGTATTCCAGAATCCTCTTTCTCTGAAGTATTATCCATAGCTTGTCATGATCCTAGCTTGTCATGATCCACACAATCAAAAGCCTTTGCAAAGTCAGTAAAGCGCAGGTAAACATCTTAGTGGTATTCTCTGTTTTCTGTCAATATCCATCTTATTTCAGCAATGATATCCTTTTTTCTATGTCCTCATCAAAATCTGGCTTGAATTTATGGTAGTTCTGTTTCATTATACTGTTGCAGCCATTTTTGAATTATCTTTAGCAGGATTTTACTTGCATGTGATATTAATGCTATTGTTTGATGATTTCCACATACACAAATATGGATCTCTTCCAATCAATTGTCCACATAAGCTGTCTTCAGAATTTCTTGGCAGAGTTGAGTAAATGCTGTATCAGTTTGTTGAAAGATTTCAGTTTATATTCCATTAATTCCTGGAGCCTTGTTCTTTGCCTATGCTTGCAGTGTATATTAACTTCTTCCTTTACTACCATTGGCTCTTGATCATAATGCTTACTCTTGAAATGGTTGAACATTGACCTTTTCTTTTTGAG